TTTTGATTATTTGATTAAACTTAGTGGTAAGTGATGATTTTGTCCATGTTTAGATTTGTTGTTTAAAAATAGTTGATAATTGATATTCAACTTATGATAATTATTTGTCTAAGAGTTGTCTAATTAACCTAAATACTTTCTTATTTGTCTAATTAGGGTAAAGGCTTAATAGTTGTTCTCAAACAATAATTTAGGATCCTTATTTATTTAATAGATATAAGGGTTATTAAATAAATACATCTATTCTTTAAGAAGGTTTATTTGGTTTAAGAAAAATGAAGAGAATGGGTTGGAAACCGAAAAAGTTTTGGTAATTAAAAAAATAGTTTTAGTTATTAATTTCGAAAATTTGTACTTAACATGTTATTTTTAAATTTTAATTTAAGATTTTGAGTATCAAGTTTAATTATTCAAATTTTAGCAACTAAAATCTATAAGCAAAAATATTACTAAACTTACTCTTAAACTAGAAAGTTGTGATTTGAGAGGCTGCTACTCAAACTATTGGAATATTTGCACTGAAAGTGACAACTATCCTTATTTGTTTAACTTTTAGGTCAAAAAATTTATACAATTACATTATTTTTAGTAATGGTTTATATACATATAATATAACATGATATGATGATGAGGTTAGTGTTTTGTAGTTTAAATTATATCAAAATCTAAAACTTTAACAATTAAATAGAGAGAGCCTCTTTCATTATTAGAAGTAAATCTAATTTAATAATTAATGTTTTGTAGTTCAAACTCAAAAGCATAAATATATATATATATATATATATTTTTTTTCTTTTTGTTATACAATTGACAAAAATGATCACTTGATTTCACTTCCCCAACAAAAACATTTTCGGCCCAAACAAGTCCCAATAATAGGAAGGTTAAAGAATCGGAACCAAAGGCTGAAGGCCCAACAAAAAAAAAAAGACTGAGCCGGGTTCAAAATCCAGTGACAGCTCCCATACTGCCATACGCAGAGCAGCAAATGCCAGCTTCCAAGTCCTATCCTTCTAGCTTCCATAGAATTCAAATTTAATAAACTATTTATTGAGATAATAGATAATTTTAGCAACCAAAGCCAAAACTTGAAAACAAAAATATTACTAAACTGACTCTCAAATTAGAAAGTTTTGAATTGAAAGGCTGGTACTGGAACCATTGGAATATTTCGTAATAAAAATGATAATTATCTTTTTCTTTTCTTTTTTTTTTTTTTTTGTATTAACTTCCTCTTTCTCGTGTTCGATAACCATATTGGGTTTTAATTAATCAAGAATCAAACCACGTTAGACCCCATTAGGGGAAAAGCTCTCCCAACACCTTACCTTACTTACTTAAAAGGAATCGAATTTCTTCCACTTGGAACAACAGGTCATCAGTATAATTATCTTTATTTATTATACTTTTAGGTTGTAAATGATACAAGAACATTATTTTTAGTAATGCTTTATATAATATGATACTACATTATATAATGAGCCTGCAATTTACCATTTGAATTATTATCAAATTGTAAAACACTAGTAACTAAATGGGAATCAAGGATTCTTTTGATTCCATACATGAAGTAATAGAAAAATGATTTAAAGA